TTGGTACGTCGCGCCGGCATTCTTCAGTCCGAAGGGCATTACGTTGTAGTAATAGTTGCCCGAGCTGGTCATGAATGCCGTGCAGCGTTTGTCGCCCGGAGCCATTGGGATTTGATTGTATCCCGAGTAAGCGTCCATGAACGACAAAGTTTTGTAGCCGGCCGAGTTGTCGACCAGCATATCAATGTTCGGTAGAGGAAAAGCATCCTTCGGGCAAGCCCGATTGAGATCGGTATAATCAACACACATACGCCACTTTCCATTATTCTTTTTGACAAGTACAACATTTGACAGCCAGGTGGAATACCGGGCTTCAGAAATAAAATTTGCCTCTAGGAGGTCTTTTACAGCTTTTTCAGCAGCCTCCGTTTTTTCTGGAGACTGCCTACGCCTACGTTGTACTACTGCCTTGGCGGCCGGATCAATGGCGAGGTGATGACAGGCGACCTCAGGGTCGAGTCCGGGCATCTCTGCAGCGCTCCAGGCGAAGAGATCAGCATTCTCGCGCAGACAGGCCTTGATCTGCTTCCTGGCCAAGTCGGGGAGGTCCTTGCCAATCTTCACTCCTTTGGTCGGGTCTGCTCCCAGGGGAACGAGTTCGAAATCACCGTCCGGAATAGGTCGGAGGGGGATTTGCTCGCTGCTGGCCGGCTCATCTTCGTCAAAACGTGCGTCGAGCGCAATGGAGTCGACCTTTGGTGGAGCCTTCTGAGCTTCTACCTCAGGAGATGCTGTGTCGGGCTCTTGCTTTGTCTTCTTGACGGGCCTAGTGCTGGGACCCACGTCGACAGTATCCCGACCCCTTGAAGCGGCGTTGAAGCACCGGCGGGCAGCAGCGAGGTCGCCCTGGATGGTGGCTACCCTCCCCCTTTTGGTATAGAACTTCATCTTTAGGTGGACAGTTGAAGGGACCGCTGTCAGTTCCGCCAGTGTCGGCCTCCCCAGGATGCAATGGTACAGGGATGGGCAGTCAATGACGAGGAAGCGGACCTTCACCTGTCTTGTAGCAGTATCTTCCCCGAATGTCACGAGGAGCTCGACATATCCCCAAGGTTTGGACGTCGAGCCGTTGAAGCCTTGAAGGTCCGAACCTATGTATGGAGACAGATGGGATTCGTCCAGTTGTAAGGTCCGGAACAGCTGGGTGTACATCACGTCGACGGAACTCCCCTCGTCGACCAGGATGCGATGCACATCAAAATTAGCCATCTTCGCCCTTATCAGCAAGGGGATGACTGCGTTCGGTGCTCCGCCGGGGAGCTCTTCCAAGTAGAATGTGATGGGTTCTGACCTGCCCCTCACCATTTCAAAAGTCACAGTTTGAGGAGGAGCTTTGTCGACCAGTTCGTCCAACTTTCTCTTGGCTGAGTTGATGGTGAGGTCGCTGAACCCGCCCCCGTTGATGACCATTGCGGAGGGGAAGTATTCCCACCTGCTGTGAGTAGTCAGGGGCTCCTGCAGGAGCTCGGGAAGTTCGAAATCCTCGGGCCTGGTTATTGCGTAGGCGGTCTGGATTGGCACCGACTCGTCAGATGGTCGGGCATCTTCTTCAGGCTCTTTTGCCTCACGGGCTTCACGACGGGGAGCGTCGTTTTTCCTGTACTGCGCAAGTCTCCCTCCTTTGATGAGGGTTTCAATAGCATCCTTCAGGTGGACGCAGTCCTCTGTCAAGTGACCATGACTCCTATGGTACTGACAGTACTTGTTTTTATCTACTCCTGGCTTGGCAGGAGCTGGTCGGGGACGCTTGACGCCACCGTCCTTGAAATCTGTGCTTGCACACTCCGCCAGAATACGCTCGCGGGAAGCCGTGAGCGGAGTGTACTCAGTAAACCTGCCCGAGGGGCCCCTTTGTTCCCGGACCTCCCGGGGTCTGTCTTCCTTCCTCTTCTCTCCGGTGCGTCGGGGAGGAGGGTCTTGTCTTGAGCTGCTTCCATGGTTGCGGGCTCTGGAGTCCCGTGCCCTGTTGGCAGCTTCTCTCTCCTCGTAATCCATATATGCTCGAGCTTTGTCGAGGAGAGCATCAAAAGTTGCAGGTGGCTCGATGCCTACAGCTTTCCTGAATTCGGTGCCGGGGAGGAGGCCCCTCTCCAGCAAATACCTCTTCATGTGGTCCGCGCAGGGGACCTGGATTGCTTCCCGGTTGAAGCGGTTGATGAATTCCCTCAAGGTCTCATCATGTCTCTGGATGATGGCCTCGAGGGCTGCCTCTGTCTTTGGGTGGCGACGAGAGGCTGTAAAGGAACTGATGAACTGGTTCTTCAAGTTCCGCCACGAGGTGATGGAGCCCGGGGCAAGTCCTTTGTACCAGTCCATGGCCGCCTTCCTGAGAGTCGTTGGAAAGAGACGGCACTTGATTGGCCCCCCGACATTGTGATAGTGGAGCATGGCTTCAAACCCGTCAATATGGTCGACTGGGTCTGCCACCCCATCGTACTCCTTTAGGTGTGGGGGCTTCTCCATGCCCGGGGGGATAGGTGCGTCCATGATTGCCTGCGACAGGGGACCGCGGGGGTCGTCCTCGTCGCTCCTTTCTGGAGAAAGAGAAAGGGTCCTGTAGTTGTGTCGGGCACGATGCTCGTGCTGGGACTCCCTTGAACGTGACGTTCGGTGGGCGAAGGTCACATGTCCGTCTCTGTTGTGCCTCCGTTCGTGCCTTGAGGCGTCGCGGACAGGCTCTTCGGCAGGTATGACGGGCTGTCTTTCGTATTGGGGCCGCCTCTGCCTTGGTGCGGGAGAGGGGCTCCTAGAGATTTCCCTGTAATGTCTCCGCGGGGGAGTAGGGTGTCGAGCTTCTTCGACCCGAGGAAGTGGAGATGGTGGCCTTTGATGTCTCCTCGGGGGGCGTCGATCATTTTCCAGTGCCCTAAGTCTTTCTCCTTGTGCGAACAGGAGATAGTTCGTCTGGTTGATGGCAGCGAACAGTGCCTGAGCAGTGGCATCTGCTCCGACAGGGGCCTGGACTTCATAGAACCGGGCAGCCTGGCGATAGGCGAGAGCTTCCGGATCGTCCTCGAGTTCTGGGGGAGTTGTCGAGGAGGACGCAGTGTTACCGTCCCTGCGGGTGGGAGGTCCAGGGGCGGTTGTCAGGGGGGCGGCATTGTGGCCGGCACCACTGGGATTGTCCAGGTGCCCATTCTTGTCCGCGGGACCGTTGTTGACGTCGAGGATGCGAGTGTGTTGCTCTTCACGAGTTGGAGAGGCCATGACAGTGAATGGATTGAGCTTTGGTCTTTGAAAACTGTTCGTTAGACGGGGAAGCTGTTTCCCACAGACGGCGCCACTGATCTGACCCGATCAGAAGGTTTGGACCGTCACGGCTGCTCCGAGCTGAAGGCTTTTTGAACGAGGAGGGGGGGGGTACCTGCAAGGCACTCCGATGCTTAAGTCAGTGGGAGTACTAGCAGATAATAGAGTTGAGGTTAGAATTGATGATTACCTGACCCTCTGGAAGCAGAGGGTATTTATAGCCCCCAGCGCTGGGCCAAGGTTCCTTCACTGGGCCGGGCGGATTTGGCCCAATGGAGGAACTGCCAGGTCCTACGTGGGTAGTGGGGATCAGCACGTGGTCCCCTCCCTGGATGTGGTGCGTGAAGTGCGGGCGGACAGAGACGCGGTCTTTACGGAGTATCGTTGGGGCAATGGTGACTGAGTCTGCCCTAGCAAGGTAGCTTGAGTCCATGTCGAGCAGTGCAGCGTGATGTCGAGCTCGGTGCCAAGACCCCGAGCTGGACAGCGAATGTCGAGCTGGAAACCAGGGCATAGAGCTGGTCGGCAGTCTGTCGAGCGTGACTTCGTCGCGTGGGCTGGCACACTGGGATGTCGAGGTGGACATCAGGGTGTCGGGCATAGACGTTGTGGTCCTTAGCGAGTCCCATTGGACTGGGCCTTAGTAATGCTTTTGGGCCTGTCGGGCCCAGTCCAGAACAATCTTTTTAATATTTTCGTTGAATAGTTTCCAAATCGTTTGTATCAAATGAAGTAGTAATCCCTTTATATATAAGCTAAGAAAAAAAGATCGTTGGAAAACGTCACTTTCACCAAGCCGCCTGCTACAATGGTAGCGTATAATCGTGGGATACAAAAGGCACATCAAAACTTTATTCGTACACCGCGCTTTTCACAAATAGCGGAAAAAGCGTTGTACTGTATCTTCTTGTGTAAGTTTCTGATCTTTTCTTTTGTTGGAATACTTATGATCTGAAGTAGGAAAGAGCGGAGAAGAAATCACGTCTTTGTTCTTAATCTTTTAATGAATTGTTTCTGATAAGAAGTGAAGAATATTCCAGAAGACGTTTCATTGTAATGTTCACAAAAATATCAGATTCTTTTAGAACGAGAACCTTATCTTCAGACATATATCGACAAGTTATCTGACAAAAAAGACAAGTTATCTGACAAAAAATTAAAATTATAAAATTTATATTACAAAATTGTCAAAGACGATACTGACCTTGGTTTACTATTGCACACTTTACATAGCATGCTAATTAATATATTCATTCCTTGTGATTGTTCGTTCTCCATATTATTTAATCCTAAGTTTTTAGTGGTTAAATTTATATCCAATAAGACAAATCACTTGATTTATTGGTAAGTTGCAATCTAGAGTTAAGCATAAAATTATCAAAAATATGATTTTTTTTAGAAGGGCTATGTCGGTAATTTGTGCAATCTATCAGTAAATGCTTGATAGTAGAAGGATAACCAAATGTAAAACATTACGATAGTTTTCTGTTGAGCTAAATCCAGCTACATAGATTCACACACAATTTGTGGTTAATTACAAGCAAATCACAACAAAGGAATCTCCATAATGCTTATAGCTCAAAAAGTTACAAAAAGATCCCCAAATAAATTTTAAAGAACCATATACAAACAAAAGTATTGTTGTTGCCATCTACTGCATAACTTTAGCAAAAAATATCATAACTTAGATTTATCCATATTGCCATCTTGTCAAAAAAAAAAACTACCTATAAATGAAATATATAATCTGGTCAAATTCCCAATGTATGAAGGAAATCCCAATATTTGTTCAGCATATGATCATTTGGCACAACTTCATCCCACTTGCCAGTACAAAATATAGCATAAGCATCTGCTGCATACCTGATATTCAAATATCGCATTCAACGTGTTATTCAAACCTCAACCGTAACGATATAATCCACACATGATAAAAAGAGAACATACTTGCCAACACTATACAGTTCAGTTACATGGGTCCAACTCTCAGACAAGTATTCATGAGAAAGGCGTTGCAGCATCGCTGACCTTTTCACTTGAAGACCTAATGACTTTATTACCTCTTGTATCTCCTCTCTTGATACTCGCGTACAAGACTCTGCATCCGGACATAACTCGAAAAACTTGCCTACAATTTTTTTCATCTGCATTTTGCAAAACAAGCTTCTCACGTCTTAAAATAGGATAATACTTCAAAAGTAGGAAAGTTACTAGCACGCTGCATAAAAGATGTTTTAACAAATTAGACACTTGTAGTGTGATCATTGAGACGCTGACAACACTCCCTCCAATAACATAAGTAGCATCACATCACATGAACATTGGACTAATTTGATAGGAAAAACATCACTGTATAAACAAAATTAAGTCATCAACAAGCTTCTAAAAGAAGCAACAGATCAGCAGCAGAAAATTATTGATCATAAGAGATTAATTGACATGCTCTATCAGTGTAAAATGTTTTACACAAACGGTGCATCACAAGCATTCATATGTGACACTTTGGATGTGATTAAAGTAAAAGTCAAACACTTCAAAAATCTAACGGTCACGAGTTTGCAACAAGAGATTTTCTTGCTCAGCTAATAAGAGAATAGAATATGGTTGTTTGATGCAAAACACATATTTGGGAAACCAATGGGTCACAGGTTCCCATACGGTCAAAATGGTAAAATATTTCCAATAATTATAAGCTGTCACTATATCTAAAAACTGAACTGTTCTGAATATGTTAGCCATTGTTTGATAGTAACAAATTCCTTGTGTAGGATGTGTTATTTAGTTTTTTAGACTTAACCATGTCCATGCTGGATTCCTCTACAGAACTACAGGAAGGTTCTGTTGTGTATTAGTGCAAAGATATGTGCAGAGGTGCAATCAGAGTAGTCAACAAACGACAGCGGTTAAGCCTTCTAAAGCAAATCAGAAAACGAAAGATACAATAGCAAAACATCGGCATAAAACATAAGGGATACGATAATGGAACGTACCTGCGTACCAGTAGTTCGGTTTAATAGCATACAAATAACCAACACTCTCCATGGATCATGAAAATGATCCTCTTGAATGAGATTCCAATGAGAACGTGGAGGCAGCCAATTGTTTTCCGCAGTTTTTCTTTTGTAAGCTTCCTTATATCTCTCCGCCTTAAGAAAAGGTTGAGTTTTCTTACCACGACTTTTGGATTTCATTTTAGGAGGAACAAGAGATGAACCCTCTTCAATTTTAGGCCCCTCTTGAAAGGAGTTAGATAAATCTCCAAGTATCGATTCAAACTTAATTTTAGCCTCTTTGACTATAGCTTTATATTCCGAGTCACTCTTCTTAAGACGCTTTCTTGAAATAGGCACACTCCTACCATGGTATACATATCGATTCAAAATATCATTAATATCCTTCATACAATTGTCTTCAACTTTATACCCTCCTCTAGAGGAGTCGGAAACCTTTTGAAGCAACAAACTATCCTTAGTTATAATCTCTTCAACTTTAGCTAAATATTCATAGATCATTTCCAAACAAGAAGAATCTTCGACTTTCGAATTTTCAATTACTTCGGTTCCTTCACATTTCCTCTTCTTAACACACTCTCTGAAACCCGTCACGATCTTCTTCCTACGATTGTTCTTAACCTTTCTAGAAGGACAAGGAGACACTCTCTTTTGATAATCCACTTCAGACTCTTCAACTTCCCCAAAATGTTTCGACACCTTAGAACGACAAAAATCGTCCACTTTAGAATCTTCAACTTTCAGAAAATACTTTGACATCTTCCTTGAAGGACAAGAATCGCCCACTTCAGAATCTTTGACTTTCACAAAATACTTTGACACCTTCCTTGAAGGACAAGAATCGCCAACTTTAGAATCTTCGACTTTCACAAAAGACTTAGACACCTTCCTAGAAGGACAAGAATCGCCCTCTTTAGACTCTCCATCTTTCACAAAATACTTTGACACCTTCCTTGAAGGACAAGAATCGCCCACTTCAGACTCTCCAACTTCCCAAAAATGTTTTGACACCTTCCTTGAAGGACAAGAATCGTCCACTTCAGACTCTCCAACTTCCCAAAAATGTTTTGACACCTTCCTTGAAGGACAAGAATCGTCCACTTCAGACTCTCCAACTTCCCGAAAATGTTTTGACACCTTCCTTGAAGGACAAGAATAGTCCACTTGAGACTCTCCAACTTCCCGAAAATGTTTTGACAACTTCCTTGAAGGACAAGAATCGTCCACTTCAGACTCTCCAACTTCCCGAAAATGTTTTGACACCTTCCTTGAAGGACAAGAATCGCCCTCTTTAGACTCTCCATCTTTCACAAAATACTTGGACACCTTCCTTGAAGGACAAGAATCGCCCACTTTAGACTCTTCATCTTCTACAAAATGTTTCGACACTTTTCTAGAACGACAAGAATCACCCACCTTAGACTCTTCATCTTTCACAAAATACTTAGACACCTTCCTTAAAGGACAGGAACCACCCAGTTTAGAATCTCGAACTTCCCGAAAATACTTGGACACCTTCCTAGAAGGACAAGAATAGTCTCCTTTAGACTCTCCAACTTCCGGAAAATGTTCCGACACATTCTTTGAAGAAGAAGAATGATAAAAAGCGTTCCTTCTCTTTGAATGCTCCACTTCAGTGCTTCCCTTATATGCAAATTCATTGAAGAGATCATCCACATTCTTGCAACACTTCTTTTCCATTCACCTAACTATCATCAAAATCTCAACTTACAAAATAAAATAAAATAAATTACCAAAAAAAAAAAAGAGATTGGATTATACCTTGTCGTCAACAAGTTCGTAAACCTAAGTATCATAAAAACGGAAAAATTACCAACAAAAAAAGTAAAGAGATGTTGGGATTTTACCTTGTAGACAACAAATTCTTGATTTTTATCGGTCTCTGTAGACAAAAAACTAGAGAGATGAAAGAATGGTTTGGTTAGGGTTTAATGGATATGGAGAAACCAGTTACTAGTAATGTGGAATCCCAAACGGTGAAAAGCTTAGATATTAGTATAATCCACAAGCAGATGCATTTTAGTGAAAAGTCTACCGGGGCTTCCCAACAAAGTATTCATTTAAATATTTTTTTCTTCTTTTTTAATTAGATAGATTATCCTTGGGATTAAAAAATTATATTTTCTAATTCAACAAATGAGTGTGAAATTAGATAGATTATCCTTGGGATAAGAAAATTATATTTTCTAATTCAACAAATGAGTGTGTTTTAAAATATGAGAAAAATGAATGATGCATCGGCCGTGTAAATTAATTTAAGTGAAGAGTGAAGAATAAGGGATTTCAATCGGGTTGATTAAATCTTATTCATCAAGATAGATTCAAAATACATATGTTTAGAGTAATCCCTAATATGTGGTATCTAGAGCTCTGGCTGATGGTAGTGAATCATCTAAACAAGCATTTTCCAGCGAGTCTTCTGATTCTTAAGAGTCCGAATTATGAGAATTTGTGCAAGCAGATGAAGGTGGTTTTCTGTTATCAAGATCTTTAAGATTTTGTAAAGGAAGTGGTATCACCGCTTGAAGAAGACGTGACGGGTGAAGAAAATGTTGAATACAAAGAATTAAAAAAGAATGATTATAAATCTCTCTTTATAATCCACCAATGTGTTGATCCAGACAATTTTGAGAAGTTGAGTGATGTTGAATCAGGAAAAAAAGCATGGGAAATTCAAGAGAAATTGTTTGGAGGCGCGGAAAAGATGAAAGAGATGAGGTTACAAACTCATAAAAGAGTGTATGAATTACTTCAGATGAAAGAAATTGAAATCATAACTAATTTCTTCACTAGAATTACGAAATTGGTGAATCAAATTGAGGTATGTGGAAAAACGTTGACATCAAGATAAGTTGTCGCAAAGATCTTGAGGTATTTGGCTCCAAAGTTCGACTTCGTAGTGGTAGTCATAGAAGAGTCGAAAGATTTGTTGACATTGGTAAAGGAAGAGCTTCAAGGAACACTTGAATCTCGTGAACAAAGAATGATTGAGAGAGTTGCAGAGAATTCGAAGAGTGATGTGGCTCTGCAAGCCCAACCAGCAAGAGAAAAGAGAGGTAAAAGAAAATGGTTCGACAATAAAGGTAGAGGTGGTTACAACAATTCGACTGGTAGGGGAAATCAACAAGAAGGAAAGGCGTCGAACCAGAGAATATCCATACTGTTGTACCCCAAAATTTTTCCTCTCACTTATCAAATATTTTCTCACAAAGATCTCTCTTGGTTCAAGACTGCACTAGGGTTGATCAGCTCAAGACACCTCCCTAAGCACTGATGACCAAAATTAGGGTTTGAGATTGCACAAGGATAATTGAACTTTCAATGCTTCATATGACTTTCATGGATCATTATGGACCCCCAAGATTATTCATGTCAAGTTTCAAGCCTTGGATCACACTTTTGCTCAGTCAATTGAGCAGTTGACCTAAAAATCAGCTGTATTGGGGAAAAAGTCAATTATGGCAAATTTACAGTCAAACTTTATAATTTTTTATCCACATAAACATTATAAACTCATATGTATCATTTGATCAAGTTTGGACCATAATTCCTCAAGAAATTTGATCAAATCATCAAAAGGGCAAAATGGTCAAAATTAGGGTTTTTACTAAGAAAGGGCAATTTCTGATTTTTGACCTAGAAAATGGTCAATTGGTTTGAAGCATGATTTCAAGATTTCAATTGCATCATTTTGACCTAATGGCATGACCTAAAACATTGCTTAAGATCAATTGGATTGATAGTGAATTTTCAGTCAACTGATCAAAAGTCAACTGCACACTGAAAAGTCAAACTTTGACTTTTTGGTCAAAATTCAATGTCAAAGATCACAATTCATCAAAACATGTCAAAATATGAAACTTATTCATTAAGAAATCAAAAATTCAAGATTTCACTTTTGAAAAGTCAAAGTTTTCTAACTTAGAAATTTTTCCAAGTGTTTAAAACTTCATGTTTTTTCATAACTTTGAGCCAATTTTTCACCATGATGCAAGAGGATTCAGAAGAAACTCCCAACATGAAAGTTTTAGATCTCCATGATATCTACAACATTTATTTACACAACTTCTTCTAAAAATGCTTGGATCTCAAGTTATTAATTCATAAAGTCATGGTCTTGAAATTGAACACTCAGTGAAATTTTGCCCTAGTTTTGGTCAGGATTTTGACCTAACTTCATGGCACTTTTTCATATAGTTCCAAGGTTAATTTTAAAAAGTGATTCAAAGAGTGGTTGTAGAGCACATTACAAGCTTTCCAAAATGTCCAAGAACTCCTTGAGATCATTCTTGAGCATGGAGAATCGAAGAGAGGAAGTTAGGGGTTTCAAACTTGAAATACAAGTCATTTTGTGATGAACAAGAATTCAATTTCAAACCTATGCTGCACAATCTTACTTTGCAGGCCTCTAAACCTCAAGATCTCTCCATAATCAGAAGATTACACTTGCTTTTGAGCTATTATCCACTTGATTCAAGCTTTATCCAAGTAAATTTTCCATTTATGGCACAAAGTAACCATTCCATTCTTGTAAAGAAGCTTTAATCACAAAGTCAATGCATAGAGCTTTGCACTTGTTCCTTCTGATCACAAGCAATGTCAAAGGAAAAAACAACATGTCTAGAGCCTCCCATAAACTCAGGCGATGCTTGTACTATGCCTTGAAACCATATTGTCACTTTTCTTCAAAATCAAGTAACATAGCCATAAGTCTAGATCTTATGTTTCTGACCTCCTCAAGTGCACCAACCTTTTCCATATAATTATACAAGTGTATTGAAACATAAAACACGATGGAAAAGCTCCAAAACTCCCTGAAAACTCAGATTGCACAAAACCTCTATTTTTGTGTCATTTCTGACTTTGAACTTCAAATCTTCAAAACCACTCGTGCATTTCTTGGCCTTTTAGCTTCAAAAGCTTCCTCATATCAAATACAAACAATCCATGTCCCTGTGTGCAGACTGTAACATCATCTTCATCAACTTCCATAGCCAAAAATAGAGCATTACAGTTTGACTTATCCAGGCCATTTCAGCCACTCTTAACTCAAGCTAAGCATTGCATTAGCTTCCTAGAGGTCCAAGGAAGCTAACCTGATCATCACCACTGCCTGAAACAAACTCAAATCCATTTCACATTTTCCAGTTTTGGGGTATTTTTCTTGAACTTCTATCTTCATATTTAGGCATTATTAGGCTTACATTTGTGAAGATAAAATGTAGACACCATTGCCACGAAGCTGTACATATCCATAGTTTGCATTTATATGGCCTGAGCTTAGAGAATTTTAGAGTTGACGTTTTCTGAAATTTTTAGGTTTTAAATTAGGGCCAGAAAAATTCTCATTCATCTTTGACTGTTAGCTTAAGTTATTTATATGGTTGGATTCGTGGGAAGAAATGCCATAACTTTCATGTTTGAACTTTTCATTTTTGTTGAGAGATGAAGAAGATACAGGTCCTTTGGCTAGAGGTTGAAGATGAAGTGTAATCAGGACACGTTTTATGTTATGTATTTATCCTTTCATATAAGTTAACGGATGTATCACCACCCTAGTGGTTAAAGCGCGCGCCTGTTCACCCTTAGGTCCTGGGTTCAAGCCCCAGCGTGACCTTTTGCCATTTTTCTGACATTTTTTGTGTTTTTGAGCGCTTGGGCTTTTCATGTGGGCCTAGCTTTTTTTTCTCACAATACTTCTTGTGTTACTGATCCACCCCCTGACTTATTTTTATATTTTCATTTTTATTTTATTCTTCTTTATTATTATTATTATTATTAATATTATTATTATTATTATTATTATTATTATTATTATTATTATTATTATTATTATTATTATTATTATTATTTTCATAAATCATAAAAAAATCCAAAAAAATATTTTTATTTATTAATCATACTTATATATTTTTATTTTCTCATAAAACAAAAAGACTAAAAAAAACATTTTCTTAAAATAAATAAATTTCTTTTTCTATTTCTTAAATAATTATTTTTTAGACTTAGGTTAAATTAATATATTATTTTATTTTCTTAGTTAAAATTAATTTAGAACTTAGGTTATTTTAATTAATTAATCTTCATTTCATAAATTTAAAACCTTTTCATAAAAAACCCTAGAAATCCTTTTCAAATTAATTTCTTTTCTTAATTAGTTTAAGTTGATTTTATTTAATTTTAACTAACCATTTTCTTTAATTAAATCAAGATAAAAACCCTTTCATAAAAACAACAAAAATCATTTCTTTTTTCCATTTATATTCTTGCATTTTATTTTCAATTTTGTACAATATTCAATATGGTTGTAATAGATAATTAGGTTTAATTTTCTTGTAATCCCCATTTGTAAATTTGTACACCCCTCCCCTAATGATGTAATAGCGTAGTAATTTTACTTTTCGCAATTTATCGCTTTATATAAATGCTAGTAATTAGGATTTGTATGGGAAGATAAAATCAACAAGTAGCAAACCCTAATCAAAGACTAAACAAAGCATGAAAATTAATACACTTGCACACAAGCACCCCTAGGGTAAAATCCACTTGGTTGCCTTACAAAAAAATGGCCATGTTATGCATGTGAGGTATCTTAGCAAAAACGAGCAAAAATACAAGATCATAGTCCCTCGATGACGCTATCTATGTTGCCTTTTCAAAATGATCTTAGTCCCTAAAGA